AATTAATTAAGTACAAAAAATAACTAATTTTAAAATTATTTAAACAAATAAAAAGAGAAGAATTTTAATTAAAACTAATTAAAAATAACCATTTAAAATAAAATTTACCAAGATATGATATGCTAAAGCAGCTAACTTCACCATAAGAAATCAATATAGATATTAAATTATGATACTTTTAATATATTTACTATTCATGTGACAACAGAATTTATTGTCTTTTTTAATATACTTTCTCTAATGAAGGCTCACCATGGATATACTAATAATATAAAGATTACAATTTATCAATAATTTGCTATGTAGGCATTACATAAAATCAAATTTCTACTTCTATCTCATTCATGGATTGCTATTTGTCCAAAAATTGGTTGTTACTTTAAAATTTCTTTGACTCATATTAAAGATTGGCACACGCATCATATTTATTGTAGGTCAATTTTCGTATTTATTGCTATGATAATTAAAATAGTGACGGTAAAAAGAATAGACTAATAAAAAGTTTAGGATCTATTCATCTATATTCTAAACAAGGAGGATTGAATAACAAAATTAAACTTTGCAAGTGGACCCTTCAAGTGAATATGGTTTATTAATTTTATAGCGTAACATGTAAAGCTAAGGTTAAATCTCCATTTTGGTCCCTGAACTATTGTACGGACCCCCGATTTGGTCCTTGAACTAAAGAAATCCCTGATTTGGTTCCTAAACTATTGTACGGACCCCCAATTTGATCCCCACTGTTTATAATTTGGCCTAAGTTGGTCCTTGAACTATTGTACGGACCCCCAATTTGGTCCTTACTGTTTACAATTTCACCCCAATTTGGTCCCTGAGCTATTATTTAACACGAGGACCAAGTTGAGGCTAAATTGGTAAACAGTAGGGACCAAATTAGGGATCCATATAATAGTTTAGGGACTAACTCAGGGTCCGTACAATAGTTTAGGTAGTTCAAGGACCAAATTAGGGATTTCTTTAGTTCAGGGACCAAATCAGGGGTTCGTACAATAGTTCAGGGACCAAAATAGGGGTTTAACCTAAAGCTAAAAGCAAAACTAATTTGCAAAACTAATTTGCAAAGTAGAAGTGAGGAAGCAATTGAATTGATTGTGATGAGTTCACCATTTAGTGATAGACCTCAATTGCAAGGATTTTTCTTCATAAAAATGTAATTGAAAAATCATAAGTAATTATAGAGAATTTAAAAAAGAGATTTCTATCCATTCATTAAATGTGGATCTTTACATACTACTTTCCTAGTTTGAAATTTCTATAACTATTTATCTCATTTATGAACTTAAATTATCTAGAAATTGGTTCCTACTTCGAAATTCTTCCACTCTTATATTACATATTGGCATATAAATGCATCATATTTATTGCTTGTCAATTTCCACATTTACTTGACAAATGTGGTCAAGCAAATGTAAACAAGAAAACTTGCAAAAACCGGACCGGTCATTGAACCGTTTTCGGGTCCAGTTTCCGGTTTGACCGGTTCAACCGGTTGAACCGGTGAACCGGCCGGTTCAAATAACAAGGGAAATTTGATGAGAGAGATAGGTAATTTTGTAATTTCATTAAAATTAAGGGTTAAAATCGGTATAAGAAAGGAATGGTGAGGGTGAAATTGGAAAAAATAAAAAGAAAATTGCATGAGAATTGAACCGGTGGTTTTTCCGGTTCTACCGGTTCCACCGGTTTCACCGGTTTTGACCGGTTTTGAACGGTTTTGACCGGTTTTGAACGGTTTTTGACCGGTTTTGACCGATTTTGACCTCAAACGGTTTTTGTGTGTGAACCGAGCCATTTTCATTACTGGGTACCGGTCCGACCGGTTCAACCGGCCGGTCCGATCCGGTTTTTAAAACCTTGGTTAAAAGCAAAACTAATTTGCAAAGTAGAAGTGAGGAAGAAATTGAATTGATTGTGATGAAGAAATTGAATTGATTGTGATGAGCTTACCATTCAATGATAGACCTCAGTTATAAGCATTTTTCTTCATAAAAATGTAATTGATAAATCATCAGTAATTACAAAGAATTTAAGAAAGAGATTTCTATCCATCCATTAAACGTAGATCTTTCCATACTACTTTTTTAGTTTGAAATTTTTATAACTATCTATCTCATTCATGGACTTAAATAGTCTAGAAATTGATTCCTACTTTGAAATTCTTCTACTCTTGTATTACATATTAGCATATACATGTATCATATTTATTACTTGTCAATTTTCACATTTACTTGACAAATGTGGTCAAGCAAATTGCAGGGAAGGGATGAACAGAAAGGAGTAAAGGACTCGAGTTATTTTGGCCTTCTTTATACAGGGTCCAACATTAACATTGCTACTTTTTAGAAGAAATAATTTTCCACCACATATAGTTCTCTTTCTCTAAGTTTTGGCTCCCACTTCTTGTCACTTTATTGTTCTTACTTTCTTTTTATTCTTTGGGATTCATTACAATATGAATTACATATTAAAAGTGAAATTCACTCTATAAATTTATTAAAACATCTTTAATAAAATTATTTATTATGTTATTTTATTAAGAATATTTTAGTAAATTTATAAGTCAAACTACACATTTAATGTACAATTCGCCATATAAAACATCTTTTTGTGATTCTTTTACTATTTCTATTTTATTTTACTTGACAAAGTGGAATTAAAGAAGTTAAAAAAGAAAGAGTTTATCTTTACATAATTAAAAGATCAACACCACTTAAATCATTAAAAAATACCTAATTATTGGTGAAAAAATCCATTAAAATAATATTATTTTAATAAATTATTATTTAAAAAATTAAAATATCATATTTTTTAATAAAATAAAAT